CCAACTCGTGTTTATGTTTACTTTAAACGTAAGATCAACCCCATTAAGTAATACAGTAACTGACGTGCTCTAATATTTTGCTTTCTCTTTAACCTGTAAAATATATATTCCTGAGCCCTGAATGGTTAATATACGTATATAACTTCAATTATGTACATGTGCAATGTGTGACGTTTCCATGGGTTAATATACGTATATAACTTCAATTATGTACATGTGCAATGTGTGACGTTTCCATGGTATCCTGATCGCCACATCCTTGCCGTACGTGTAGGTTTTTAGTATTCTTTGCGTTACGTGAAGTTGGTTACCTGAGACCGTTTTGTTCAACTTCGTTTGCGTCACAAACATAAACTCATTTAATTTTCATATTTTCTGGATCACAGACGTTCATTTATAACATTAGCTAATATTTGAGAAGGATTCTTGTTAAATATAATTATATTTTCAAAATGTTGAAGGAAGATACTGATGATCGAAATTCATTTTCCATTACCCTGGTTCCAATTGCAAGTTACAAATTATAGTTTTAGTGAAGACCCTGAAGAAGAAGAGGAAAGTAAACATAAACACGGGTTGATCTTACGTTTAAAGTAAACATAAACACGCCTCACTAAAATATAACTCAATATTTTAGCATCTTATTGTTAAAATAAGAAAAGCTAGGGGGCAAGATCTAAAGCCACAATAATCAAAATAAATTATATTATTACATGTAAAGGAAGTTTTCCCAGCTTATAATTCTACAATTCAGGTTAGATCCTGAGGTTGGCAAGGAATAGATAGAGCATTGTGTAGCTCTGTGCTTAATAACACGTGCCAAGAAACTGAGAAAAAAAATATATCAAATTTGAGCATCGATATTTCGTCGAACTTAATTACCTACGCTTCATTATTAATTAATTATTTCATTATTCTTTTCGAATGTTTGTTGTATTAATTAAAAGTATACGTGATTAATCCAATACCTGTTGTATTTGGGGTTTCGATAATTCGCTTTGAAACGTATTAAGAACTGTATTTAAATATTTCTGCACATGTGTAGTCACAAAATAACATTATGTATAAAAACTATGTAATGTGTCCTTGCCTATACATTGTCATATAAAAAGAATAACACGACATATTTAATGTGACTATTAGAAATAACGATCTGTTTACTTTTTTAATATATTTATGCTTTAGGTCAGAAAAGGGCTGAAGAAAACCCATTGTTGTTCCCGATGGCTAACCGAATGTTGTCGAAAACCTCACGACAGCCAGTCGAACCTTTACACACACGCCAACGGACTGCTGACACTACCGCCCCCTAGTGCCATCAGCGGAGAACACATTGTGGGTACTCTCGTACTTCTCACCCCTTCTACCGTTTCTTCTTTATGTGCAGGTATAACTGTCCAGTTATTGCATGACCACTTGCTTTTTAAACAAAGAGCTGGTTGAAAATATCTGCTTGTGTCTCCCTCTTTAATGTTTTGTAGCTTAGAACTGGATGAAAAAAATTTACTTGTGGCTCCATCTTTCTTTACTGCTTTGTAAGAAACAGCTGGCTGACAATGTCTGCTTATGGCTCCATCTTTCTTTACTGCTTTCTAAGAAACAGCTGGCTAACAACGTCTGCTTGTGGCTCCCTCTTTCTTTATTGCCTTGTAACAAGAGCTAGTCGAAAGTGTCTGCTTGCGATTTCTGTTTCTTTACTACTCCTCTTACCATTTTTTCTCTAATTATCGCCCCCTATTAACTGAAACTGACAGTACTTCGAGCGATTAAAACAAACGTTAGGGTCTGTAATGTACATACTGTGTACGTTATTTAGTTTCTATATCTCGTGATAAAGGATGAATATATGTGTATATAAACATCGAAAAGTTTTTAAAATATATGAACTGTATAATTCAGATCCAGTGGTTTCACTGGATGCGCAATAATCAAGATACATTTGATACCCTAAACGTGTATTCCCACATATTTATGTCACGTTTTTTTTCTCTCTTACATCTGCTGAAATTCATTTGATAACATCGTGGTCAATTTTTATATCTCCCACTTGCAAATCGAAGTTGTTATTAACCAGCATTTTTATATGATTACTTTTCTATCTTGTAAATTAAATTTCGTAGTCCTTAGGACTATTTTCGGCTTTGCTTCACGTATATTTTTGTCGTCTAGATTAGGACTAATATTATTTAATATTATTAAACCCTTATTTGTTCCTTATTCTAAATCAAGCTAGGTTTTTACACAGTTTTTAAGATTTTGTTTCATCTGTTTATGCGTAGTATTTGTTTTTAGTTGTTGAATACTGTTATTCTGATATTGATCCCTCCACGTATTTTTTTTTTCTTTTCGTCCAATTCATTCCAACTAACTTTTCCCATTGCATTTTAAAACGACCTCGTTTGCCTTAAAACAAAGCCACATTAGGCTATTTGCCATGTCCCCAGCTGGTAATCGAACTCCGCATTTTAGCGTTGTAAGTCCGAAGACTTACCGTTGTCACTCTTAGATACTTGGATAGAGCAAAAACATTGCGAAAATATTAAATAATTTTTTAAAGTTTTAATATCTGTTTGTTGCTGTTTTCTATTTAACTCTTGTTTTATTCCGATTGTTTTGTGATTTTTATAACACGTACGTTGCCAAACTTTGAAAAAAATTAAACTAGCTTGAAGAATCTTTGGAAAAGTAAGTTTAGATGAAGCAGTTTTACTCATAAATAATAAAATATATTTATATGAAAAAATGCTTTAGTTTTTCAAAATCGTTTCCATCTTTAAGCGTAGCAATCAACAAATTATTATTTTAACTGCTTAGACGTTTCAGAACTGATACACATTTCTTTTATATATCTAAACTATGCAATATTCACGCAGACGGAATTTTGATTTTTTCATATTTGTATGGATACTCACCTCTTAAAAAACGCCACACTTTGCTTACTACTGTTGGGATACGACTTGTTTTAGCTCTCTTTTTGGATGGTCCTGGGGCCACATGATGATTCAGATTCCTTTTTTTCAAATTCCATTATCGAACTGAACATATATTTATGATCTGAGTGTATGAATATTTTGCGTCTAACCGGACTGTTATACCTTTCCCAAAAGCGATCAGTTTTCAGTGGCGCCACACAACGTACACAATACCAAACAATTTCAAAATGTAATTCTGATACATTATGTTCCATCGTGACTTTATGTTTGCTGTGATTGGCACGTGACTTGCTAACTTACATTTTCAAAGTCGTTTTAAATTAACTTACGCAGCTGCTGTAACTACACATCCTCAGTTTTTCAGGAAGTTGTCAAATAGAAGGTGTAGATCGATATGCGTTTTATTATTTGGAAAAATAAGACATTTTGTATACAATTATCACTGAAAAAAAAAGATTAATGAAAATAATTTTACTTAAGCAGCTGACACAGGGGTCGTGGAGATCATCGAAAAGTCAACAGAGGGGAAAACAGGTCAACATACTGGATACACCAGGTAACTTTTGTACCTGTCAAATATGCTAGCGCAAAGTTCAGATTTTCATTTACAATTTATTCTGTAATATTACTTGATGAATAGTTTTGCTGTAAAAGTACATTTCAAAGCTCGTATAAAGAAAGTTGGTTTCACTAGTTAGGTGTCGAGTTGCGCTCTGAATATCTGTTTTATAGAGTAAACAAAAGGATCTTAAGCAACCAGGAATCCATCTTGTTGAATTGTGTTTACTGTTTAATAATGTGAAAAAATAAATCCGAACCGTTATTTATTTTTCATTCTTAGTCTGTTTTCGTCCATTTTTTTTTCCAGATATCCCATTTATTCCTTTGGTGGGATTCCGAGTACATGAACACGTGACTGGATTTGGATCCAAGTTTTGCGGTGAGAACAGTAACTCATTCTCGACGTCTTCAACAAGAAAGAAGTATCTGGAACGTGACCAAGGGTCAAAGAGGTATCTGGACGAAGCAACATCTAGTGGCCTTTGTTCTTATACACCTCATATCTATTACGCTAAATTAGATCATAAATATCAAATCATTGATGGTGAATCGGCAATGGACAGATTCAAACTTAGAGCAACATCTGAATGTAACAACGACTTTGATTGGTTTACACCAGTTACTGTTTCGCAATCTTCTGCAAATACTTGTAAACGTCAGCCAATGAAACAGCACGACTCAGCCCCAGAAAATACTACGAAATCCACATTGCCCGCTGCGCTAACGTCTTCTTCACGACCACGACATTTGCCTATATTTCAAGACGGGTATTTGCGCCCTCGCGTGGCGTACAACGGAATCAATAGCCCAACAGATTCGGAACGTTCTTTTAACAGTTTAGTAAATGATCGAGGCATAATTTCTTTATCTTCTTCGAGTCAACACAACAGTAACACCAGTTCTCTGTCTCCTGAATTAAGGCCGGAGAGCGAACTTCTACAGAGCTTGCCAAACTTAAAAACTTCTGAACGAACTGATAACTCAGCTTTCTCGAATGTTCTCAAATTTCCAAGTGACAACACGGCACTTGGTTCGATTCTGAAAAATTGATACCAATAAAACCAGCTTTTAGTCTTAGAAGTACTCCAGTAATTACAAGAAAACGGGAAATATTGCAAAAAAAAAACTAATTTAAGAATCACTCCCATTGGCTTTTAAACTAGATTTTCCTAAACTATTTGTGCACGGAATTGCTTGAAAATCCCTATTAATGTATGTGTCACATCACACAATATTAATCAAAAAATACTGTCATTATTGCAATCAATCCCACTACTTTTTATTGGGATTCACTGTCTATTCTCTCGTTATCATTCCTTTACCCGAGTACTGTAACATATAGAAACACTGAATGACTCTTTGTGATGCAATATGTAGATCCCAGCGGTAGTGAACAGTATATATAAAAAAAAGTCAGTAATTTTAGGGTTAGGCACACTATTCGGAAAATAACCAAAGTAGTGCCAAAGCTGTGTGCATTTGAATATTGATATAAATGCTTATGGTAATTCCATTTTCGTTTTCGTTAACATTTAGATATTTTTTGATGAAATATTGTAAAATACACGTGTTATGACTCAGTGTTATTAAGTATGGTAATCTCGGTACTGGCAATCGGTGACAAGTGTATCTGTAAACAACACTCGTTATGTCACATTCGTGTTAACAAAAGATCAGAGTGTTATTACTGCCTCACTAAAATATAACTCAATATTTTACCAAAT